GTCTAATATGCTGAAGGCTGGTTTGTGGCAGTCTTTTTTTCTCTGTTACAAAATACTTGGAGATGTCAGAAGTGATGCAGCACAATGAGGCAGAGAAGCAAGTACCTTTGGACCCTGTCCTGGAACTCGCAGGGACATAAAGGGCGCTCAGTACCTTGTACATTTTCATATTTAAAAGGGTATAGACAAGAGAAACCTGTTGTCATAGTGGGAGTTTAATTTCACAGTCTTTATATGAATAAGAAAGATTAGTATGAATTTTGGAAGAGTTAATATGCAAGGAGGATGATTTTGCAACATTTGTTTTATAAATGGGACAAAATAATCATATATTTTTGTTTTGTTTTTCTTGAATGAAAAGTTATAAAATGCTTTTTTTGAAATTATAGTGTTTGGAGTTAATCAGAGAAATAAAGGAGGGGCTGATACTTTTCTCGTTGCTTGCAAATTGTAAATTGCAGTTATTTGCAATCATGCTTATAGCTGGCATGGGTTCATGTGCATAATCAGTCGCTTTTTGAAGGCATGTTCTATTGTTCTGTTTTATTTATGGATTCAGTTGTGATGAGAAAGACATGAAGTTGTTTTGGATGAAGCCTTGGAAATGTCTTTTAGGAGTTTTGAAGGTCAGCAAGTGCCTGGAGTTTACGGTACAAACCGGGGGTGTGTGTAGCACTGGGAATTTAGATGAAAAAGTTGAAGAGTTTTCAGCCTCAAAATGGAAGGTCAAACTCTGCTTTCGGACTTTGTGGTGTGTGAGCCAGCAAAATTCTGGGCTGACACAGGCACATTGTTACCCTCCAGTTGAAATATAGCCAGCTCCAAAAGGCCCGAGGTCAGGAGTCATCCTATCGATTTCAGCATCCGGACCCGTTAGCAGTCTGGCCTGACCCCACTGCTGGTGGAACAGGAGGCTGAATTTCTACCTCCAGTCTCCTTGCACAAATGATATGGCAGCAGACTTTTGGTGCTAATTATCAGCACTAACCTGACTGATGTGAGTTTGCTTATGTGATTGTTTTTCTTAATAGCTACAGTTATGTGCCAAGACCATTAGAGGGGATGTTGGACTGCTCGGGAGAGACTTGCCCTGTGCTACTGGTTCCTCTGTCTCACTTACTGAATCCACTTGGGCAATGTTCTTTGAGTCTGCACTTTCTAAAATGTTTGGTTTTCCCTCCACTTTTTGTCTTAATCTGCTTCAACTGCTTGCTTTTCTGGGAAGGCATCAATTCTGCATTCATAAATACACAGTGGTGCAGGACTTCAGCCTTTTTGGGACCACTGACAGCAGCTGAACACAAATGACAGTAATTTCTCTCTCTTCTCAGCGACAGATTTTTTTTTTTTTTCCTCATATGTGCCTTTCAATGAAAGCAATATTTTGGCTGAAAACAAGAGCCAGGAGATGAACTTTGACACCACTCAATTTTTGCTGCATCTCTGCGAAAGGCAGAATGGGGGTTGTTGAGTGAGTAGTAGCATACACAGAGTGGGCTGACTTCTCAGCCTTGTGTGGGGAAGTTCTTTATGCTCAGTCTTCCCCACGTAAGTGAACTTCTTTACTTGGGTCTTCCCCCCTCCTCCCATCCAGTAGGAATGACTGTTTTAACTGAGTTTCCTTAGATCAGTCACCACGTTCCACAGCAAATAATAGCTCTGTAGAAGATGTGCGTATTGCAGGACGACACCATGCCATGTGCAGCTGCAAACGCTTTCTAGATAGGGTTAAAATTCTGTACCAGCTCTCTAAAAAATCATTAGTTTTTTAAATAGGAAGGAAATAAACTGGTTGGTTAGGTACTATGCAGGGAGCTTTTAATTAAAGATGTTTAAATCTGATTCTCTCAACTGTCAAATAATTGAATTCATGAATTATGTTTGCTAGAGTTGTTTTGTGGGGTTTTTGTTGCTTGTTTGTTTTGTTTTTTTTTTTAGTAACACCGCATTTAAGTTCTCTCTATGCACTGCCGTAGGGGATGGATGGTGGCTTGTGACAGATTCAAACACAGCTGGCTGAGAACACTACTAGTGATGGATGAACAATGTCTTTGTTAATGCCTCTGTATACATAAATGATGGGCTTGCTTTATTTATTTATAAGGTGTATCCAATTACACATCTCAGAGCAAATGTCCACCGTTCAGTAAAGCACAAAATACTGGCGTTAAAAAGACAATCCCTGAAATCAGTGATCAATGCGTTTTCCTCACTCTCTGGAGAGAGATTGAAATAAGAGGTAAACCTAAAATTCAGCAAATTCAGGTAAGTTCTTTTGGGACCTACTCCTCATCTTTTAGAAGTGGCTGAAACTCAAGCAGGGAAGCTGTTGTCTCTGCTGTGGCCTCACGCCTCTGGAAACACACTGCACTGGGTTCGCCTAAGATCACTCTTCCATGTGGTCTGGACAGACCAGTCCCACCAGTACAGCGGGTCAGATTCTGTTGTCAGACAGTGATGGCTAGGGTTCACTAGGCTGTTACCTACTGGGATGTGTTTTGGTGAAGCAAGCCATCCTAATTATTTGAGTGGAGGAGAATTAATGGTTTTGCCCTTCATGTACCTTCAGCGTAGGGTTTTGGGTTTTTTTTTACCATGTACCTGTGTGTATTCATACTCACGAGCTGACACAATTTAGAACTTGAGGTGTCCAACTAACATTAGAAGCTTCACAGTGTAAATTAAGTTAGTTTCTTTTATCAAGTGGGTTAGCTATATACCGAAATAATTCTTAGTGTTTTGCTATGAGGAATTAGTCTGGATTAAGATGGATATGCAGATAATCAGGGTGTTAAACACTTTTAGACTTGAGATCTGTGGCTGCCTTGGTAGATATCTAACTCAACTAATAGTAGGGTAAATGCATACTTGTGAGTGGCTTGTATTGAATAGCTATTGCACAGTAAATTCACCCCAACTTTTCCGATGGTGACTTATTTATATAGAATTATCTTGAATTACAATTATGGCGTAAATTGATAATGTAGCCAAGACCTAAGTCTTGTGACCTAGCAAGGAGTAAGTCTTGTGTCCAGTCCTCAGGTCCTAATGCAAACATGTTATCTGTTACTGTTGGAGTCAGCTAGAAGACACAAATCAGCCCAGCATGGCCCATCAGTTACTGTGCAGTGAAAGCAGACAGTGATATATACTGACAGAGCTCCGAAACCTGTGGAAAGTTGAGGAGCAGAAGCCCTAAGACAGAGAGCTGGCATGCAGAATGAAGTGCAAGAAGCAGCTGAGCTAAGATGTGTTTGTGGTTTTCACAGGAGTGGTGCTGTTTGGCTTTACAGCTTTTGTGTTTTCTGTGGACTACTCGCCATTCTTTCCTGATGGTGATAGCCCACCTGTTTATTAAGCCCCTTTCCAAAGGCAGTGGAGAGCAAGCATGCCTTATTCTTTGGCTTTAGCTGCTGTGCAGTGGAGCAAACATGTTTGTTTCATTCTTTCATGCTGGCTGTCTCTGAAATGTGGTGGTGTCATGTTGGATATGGTAGCTCTGCAGGAATTCGTATTCACAAGAAGGTTTAGCAAGACAGAATTGTGACTACTAGGCAAATCATTTAGAGTTCAGTTTGGTTTCTAGGAACAGAGGTTTACTAGTTATTTTTCACTGGGTTCTGTGCTGTTATGTTGCTGTGATAATTTTGGCAGGGATCTGTCACTCTGTGTGGGTATAATTGAAACTTGTTTTCCCTGAGGAATCACTCTGCTCTTTGTTCTATTTGTTTACTGACAATGACAGAGATCCTAATGGCTTTTAAAACCCAATTTGTGCATCACTGAATATCCTCCAAAGAGGAAAATAAAATTAAATTTATCAGTAAAATAGGGTCCCCCATGCAATCTTTGTCTGGGTCTTATACTCCACCTGAGCACCTAGCTGTGGGTCTAGAAACAGCATGGCGAGCTGCATCTTCTCTTTGTTTCTAAATTGGTCTTCAGGGCTTTTGTCATTAAGGTACTTGGAAGGATGAATGACAGTAAGTTATCTAGGGCACCAGTATAAGTTGACCAGCTTTGCCTTGTGAGAAATAAATTATCTTTAGCTTTTATTAAAAAGGAGTTTAAGATAACAAAACAATAACCACAGTAAAATTCCCCTTTTGGGAGGGTATACATGATGGTATCACTTATTACTGTCATAAATCAGGGTGATTAAGTGTTTAGGTTTTTTAAATATATGATATCAAAGTATTTATGCATTTATTTTATTTTAAGCCTTTGAAGAATTTTAGTGAGATCATTTGGACTACTCACGTTCACAATGCCTTGCTGAATTGTGGTTGTGGATAAATGTGTGGCTTGTTGCCTGCTGTGCTCCAGAGGAGCATGCACACAAGTAAGTGATGAGGCTCAGGACAGACATTCAGGAATGTGAGAAGGAGGGGTGTCTTGCTTTAAAGACTAAAGAATGCAGGATAACTTTTTTGTAACACCTCCAAAGCTGTGGGTTTGCATTGGATGAAGATTCAGATGTTTTTAAATTGTATTGATGTGACTCAGACAATCTCTAATTACCTTTTGACACACTTGCTTGTCATTCAAGCATATAGGGATTGTCCAGGTTTCAGTGAACTCTGACTGTGAACGTCACGAGGGGGTAAGTTTGGAAAATACTGCTGATTTTAAAGGTTATCTGTCAGTTTGTATATATACTGCTATGAGCCAGACTAATCTGACCTCAAACCAGAGCTGTAGTGTAATAACACTCTGCCTTTCTTATTGTATAACTCTTTTGCAAATCTCCTTGACTTTGATAGCCCTATAATAATAATAGATTTGCAATATTTATGTTGCCTCTTCTAAGGAAGTGTTCCAATGTGCCTTGGAAAGGTGGGTAATTACTCTTATCTCCTTTTTTACAGAAGGTAAATTAGTGGTACAGAAAGTGCCCAGACCAGCTGACTCCCACCTCCTTGTTCTCATTGCTTGGTTCAGTAGTGCAAATCTTGACAATACGCACTTTCAGTCTGATCTATATGTTGTTTGCATTGCAGTGCCCAGAACAAGGATTTTGGCTACTGGTGGTGCATCCCACAATGAAAAGATCTTACAGGTAAGTAGGAAATTAAATCCTTTGAACTGAGCTTGCAGTTACATCTGCATTTTATTTTGGTTACCTGAATCGAAATCACTGCAGCTGCACAGGAAGGTGTCAATATGGGATTGTGAATCTGCTGCAGGTCTTTGGGCCTTTTCTTCAGCTTTAGTTTGGAAACTATTAGCCCAATGCTAACTTTGTATTGAACTTTAAAGGTTTTTTTTTTACACTCAGCTAGTTCTATGAATGTGTATCTGAAGCACTGGTGATTTCCAGGTCTCATCACTTACATCAAATCAGTCAGCTGAGAAATCAAGAAAAAACTTGATATGATACCCGAGATTTTTGTGGGTTTTATCATTCAGATCAAAGCTGGGCCATGGATTTAAGCTGGAGAGGGATTTTGCTGATGGTGAACACTTAAAAAACCACACCCCCAACAAACAAAAAATCCCAGACAAACCCCTAGACCCTGCCCTTGTTCTGAGTACCTGTTACTTATTAGCATTGTGTCACATATTGGGAGGAGGCTACGCTTCTGTATAACCTGCTCTCCTTCTTCCCACCTTCCTCTTCTGCTGTTGTTGCTGCACTTCCAGCCCTGGTTAACATGCATTGTCTTGTCCTCTTGAGATCAGGGTACTGCACGCTCTGTGTTTCTGCCTGGTGAGATATGGCAAAGCCTTGCTTGTGAGTGGTGCGAGGCCTCTCACCCAGCTTTTGCTAGGCAGAACAAAACATCTGAGTTGGGATTTGTCTTGCCTGAATCCAGTCCTCTGCGATGCGATACGTGTATGCGACCTGCTAATCCTGTAATAGTCACGGGAGATCCAGTCAGTTATTATGCAAAGGAAACCGGAGAGTGTTTTAACTTACCAAGTATAGATTTCTCTCTCTGGGTGAGGCAAAGAGCTTTCTGTACTCCACTGACTGCCTTGACAAGCTCCCCTTTGACTAGAGGCTCCGACACTGAGCCTGGAGGTAGATGTTTACACCAAAAGGCACCTGTCTTAATCTTGGGCTAAGTCCTGGCATTAAGCATAGTCAACACAGGGTGAATTGTTTTCTGGAGATGCCAATCCCCTTCCATCAGCTAGAGAGAGTAGAGGCCAGCCTCAGCTACGCACCATGCTCTTTGACAGTTGCAGTCATATGAAAGCGAGCTCTTCTGCTCTGCGAAACCTGAGCTGGAGTGAATGGAGGTCGAAGAGCAAAGAGCAAAAAGCTCACTCTCTCCTGAGTCATCTAAACCACATGTTTATATAACCATTGGTTGTACAGCTGATTGGGACACAACAAATTTGGCATGTTTTGCCTGTAGATGTCACTTCTCTTCATCTGCTGTGGTTATTTTGCTTAGAGCTTGACGTTGGAAAATTAACTGATAGGTTAATTGCTTAAAACATTGGTCCCTACTGGAGTAATTCTACTAAGATTATGTCAGGAAAGAGATTGGATTAATAGATGAGTTTGTTTTTAAAGCTGTATTTGCAGTTTAAGTGCCAGGAAGATTTTCTTGCTGTGGAATGAAGGCAGAGACCTGGACGTTCTTATAACATGTAATTCTGCAACATAAACAGCTGAAAAATTGTGGGAATGGGAGAGTGGTGGCCGTGGTGCTTGCTCTTCGTGTGTAACAATGCAGCTGCTTTTAAAACTCATTAGAAGTGTCTTGAAATAATATGATCAATACAGTGTCATCCACTTAATTCAATCACTAGTTAATTGGATCCTCCTTTTTAATTTAATCAAAACCTCAGAAACCATATCAGTTGCATGAAGAATAACAGCTTCCACCCTTATCATGGTCAATTTTGGATAATTTGTTCCAGGGCTACAAAAGACTATCATTTAATTAATTGACATTCAGTAACTCCTGTATTTTACACTGCAAAGGAGGCCAACTTTGGAAAATCTGTTAAAAAAATATAGTAGGGCAGCTTTCTCCACGGTTCTGGGAAGCTTTTTATAACATACATGGTGCTTGATTAATGACCACATGAAACACTGTGAAATATTTTTAGCAGTAAAACCTCTAACAGTTTCTTCTAAAATTATTCATGAGAGACCAGAGTTTCAAATGACTTACTAAATATATGAACTTTGAATAATTTTAATTTTATAATCATGTGGCACAAAAAGATGGTTATTATTTGTAGTATTACAACACTTATTAGCATTCAGTGTAGAGTAGAGCTGCGTTGTATAAGGCTCTGCAGAGGTGCAAAAAAACCCCCCAACAACCCGCTGTTGTCCAAAGGAATGTACAATTCAAGCTTAAGACAAGAAATACTTATTAGAGATGAGAAAAAGCAGCAGATGGGGAATGTGCTGAAACAGTACAGTAGTATTGGCTGGTAGGGTGGGCAGTGGAACCAGCACTCTGTGACCTTATAATTTCCAGAGGGCTTTTTAATAGATACCATGATTAATTTTCCATTTGTCCTCTAGCGTTGAAGCTCATGTATTGCTCAATACTTGCTTGCAAGCAAAGTTAGGCAATATTGACTTGGCTTTCTTACCAGAAGAGAGTGTTTTAGGTATATAAGCTCAGGCTTTCATTGGATTCTAGTTAGTAACCAGCCACTTCTGTTTAAAAACATGAAAACTGGTGATTTTCAAAGGCTTTGATTTGCAGATTCCCCACAAACTTTCAGAGAAAGAGCCAAAGTTCTTTAGAAATATCCCATACTGTTGTTTTCTGTAACGTATAAGGATTGAATTTCTTAGTCATCTTTTGTGAAGCCCTGGAGCCCATGGTCAGTAGGGCAGTAAATTCCTGGATCAGGGTTGCAGATCACTAATCCAAATGGTTTGGATTCCTGGACACTCTGGCCTTATTTTAGTCTCAGCTGTATGGATGTAAATTGGGTGATACGCTGTTCCCTTTGGCAAAAGTACTAAAACCAGCACAAGTTAAATCTGAATTGTTACCTGCTGCTTGTCGTGCTCAGCCTGAGGGCCACCTGCAGTCCTAGAGGTGACAAAACAAAATGGAGAGTTTGTTGACAAAGTTTTTGGAAAAAGTTACTGAACCTCCCATGTCCCTATCCAAATATGCCTTCATTTTCTGTATTATCTGTTTTCCTAAACCTACATTGTGGGGAAGGGCACATGTACTCAGTGAATGCAAGATGCCTGGTGTTTATTTCAATGCAGAGCGATGCGTGGTCGAATAACTTTAGTATCGGTTGGATATTGTAACAAATTCTTTGCCTGTGAATTTTTCTTTGTATTGCTCAAGCCAAGCTGAGAAGTGTCTTGGGGTATCTTCATAGCTAAGGATCCCTCAAATACAGGAAAATTCCTGGTAAATGTAGAGACTGCATAACCAGCTCCGGTGTCATTCTTCCTGCTAACCCTAATACGATGGGAATGGTGGAGGTGAAGAAGGCAGGCTTGGCAGGCCTTCATACTGCTGGAGCTTTTATTTTATCCAAGTTGAGAACTGAGGAGCCGTGACTGGATCCTCTCTCCTTCCTTCCTTCCCACTTGGCTCAGCCATAAACACAATGGAGGAAAATGGGCACCAGCTGTGGGTTCCTGAGCAGATCTCCTTGCCCTGATGTAAGCCTTTGGCATGGGCTGGTGGTGTGGGCATAATGAGGGAGACGATGCTTGAACCCAGACTCCTCTGAACTTGTAGTAAAGAGATCTGGAGGGAGATGGGACTTTGTTTCCTGGCTGCAGTTACTTCTCTGGCTCCGATTTACCAATACCCTGTTGTGTGACAAGCTCAATACTCCTTGTTGCCTATGGTGCTTCTTTCCATGGGTACCCAAATGCTTGGCTGTGGTTTTACAGTAGTTACTTGTTTACCAAAGCAGTGGTAGGGGGTGGCTTATCCCTTGTCTTTCATGGACACGCATAACTGATGCTTTGCTGCTTCTCAGGTCCTGTCCGATGTGTTCAACGCACCGGTGTACACTATCGATACCGCCAACTCTGCTTGTTTAGGAAGTGCTTACAGAGCAATTCACGGTAAGACTGTAAGGAGACACTTCTGAGCGGTCTGGGCATCTAATTTCAGTTGGTTAATACTTGGGATTAACATTACTGAAAATGAAGGGAGGATAAAGCTGTGTGGACCTGACTGCAAGGTCACTCAGGTCAAAGAGGGTTTTTTGCTCTTGGGTCAGGCCCAAGAATAACATTGACATTATAATTCAAGTCTGGTAGCTGCTTCTCAGCTAAGGGATAGGGCCTGGAACCTGTTGATACCGACAGGGGAAGGTCTAGGACCTCAATGTGTTGAGTTGCTACCTGCATGTGCCGCTCTTGGAAGAATACAGCCAGCTGAAGGTGCTGGTGTAGCCTACTGCCCATTTGTGGACCAGGCTGTAAACTGGATTGCTGAAATGGCCAAATCAAAGCAAAGTACAGTCCTAGCAAAGAAGATCTGAGAGGCCAGGGATGACAAGACGAGTAATACTGCAGCCCAAATAAATTCTGCTAAACCTTCCAGCTTTTAAACATCAAGGTGAAGGGTGTGCAAGGTGTCCTGGGCTCCATGCTCAAGTATGCAGTTTCTCTTGTAAAAGCATAAATCTTCGGATATTCTTAGGTTGACCAGTCATTTTGTTTGCTGTACTACATCACTTACTGTAATGCAACGGTCCCAGATTTAAAGTGTTAATTAACTTATGTCTATTAATGCATGCAGATATATGTTAAGGGTGGGCCGTCAGCCATTTAAGAGTTGAATCCCAGGCAGGAAATTTTATTCATGTATTTTAAAACAGTTTCTAATATCTTGCAGCTAAACAAATCAAGGAATGTGCATCAAATTCTGAAGTCCTTATTTAGGCCAACTTTTGTTAGCCTCAGTTTTTCTGATTAGAAGCTTTAAGATTTGGACTTTTAAGACATAGATAGCTTCTGTGCAAGTTCGTGTAAGATCATGGGTTGGCAACAAGCGTGGAAAAGATAACATCAGCCATCAGAAGAAATCAGCCAAGTTTTAATTTTAGAAGCAAATTCTGCTGTCACATTATAGCATCTGAAGACTACATGCTCTCTTGCATTTGAAAACAGCACAGAAAATTGCACAGCCAAAACTTAATGCACACAGCATGCTCTTCTCTTTATTTCCAGAAAAGACACAAGGGTTCTGTCAGGCAAAGTACGCTTTTGCAGGACAATGGAAACAGTACTGTTAGGTTGTCGGTATGTTTGAAGCCACAAAGGGACCGTTTTTCCACCTCGGGGGGGCCAAGTTTCCAAACTGTTTTTCTCTGTACTCAGACTTTATTTACTGCTTAGAAGCCACCAGAAGCTTCCCAGCACCTAATGCTGCAGGCAAATTCCTTGTCATTGAATGCATGTGAAATGTGGAGCCGTCATTAAAGTTTGTGTAGATGTTTGGTACGTATGGAAGATGTGTATTCCCTGTGCCAGTTTGGCTTATGAAATCTTGAGGCTTGGTTAACAGAGCGTTTGAGTGAAGATTTCAGATGCTGTGCTGATGGAGGGACTCCTTAGCTCAGGTACTCTGCCAGCCAAGCCCCAGGGACTTGCTGTGTGTGTTTCTAAATGGCATTTTTGATTGATGCTTCCAGCTGACTCACTCTTGGCCAGGCAAACGAATTGAGTAAAAGTGAAGAGTTGCTAATATAAGTGAAATATTGATGGCAAGGGCTCCTTAATAATATTACAGTGTACATTGGCAAGTAGGGTGTTCCACAGTTAGCCTGGGGATCTTAGCAGGTGTACAAGGAACTCCTGAAATGCTGTGTGGTGCACTTGCAAAGCAGAATGCTGTAGTGGCAGAACTCCCCTATTATTATGCTTCCTTATACCATATTTTCTTGACGCTGTTTTCACTTCTCTTCCTTTTTTTGTTTACTCACATTTTGTCCTTGAATCACTTGCTTCCACATATTTTCACTTCTGTTTACTGTATTGTTGTAACCATAAATAATTACTGATACTGTTGAGCAGCGTTTCTGCTGCTTACCTATTCTCCAGGGTACGAATTGAGTGATTGGCAAATCACAGAGTCCCCACTTCCTGGGCTGGCGCGTAGGAATGTAAGATCTTCTGCCATTTATCCTTCAATCCTGAATTCTGACCTGACCAGGGAAGATCAATATAATGTATTAATTTGCCAGGGAGTTAAGGCACATCCCTCATCGTGCTTTTTGCATTGATCAGGCTTGTGATTCTCATTGCAGGGCTTGTAGCTGAACAGAATGTGTCCTTGGCTGATGTCGTGAAATTAGCACCGGAGCCTAGATTGGCTGTTACACCAACTGCTGGGGCTGAGGAGGTGAGCAAGCTTGGGAATACCTTTTTTCTTTTCCTTTCCTTCAAAATGTAGTTGTTTACTAATTCTTCTGGTAATTAAGAAACATTTGGTTAAACAACTCTTACTCCTTGTTCTAAAGATAGATTTGATTTTGGGAGATCTTTAGTGTTGTAATGATGCAGTAATCTGATCACCCCAACCAGGTCTGTGACAGTGATTTTTCCTAACTGGGTGTGGTCAGAGAGCAAAATCTGTTCCTTAAGGGACAGAAGGTGTTATAAAATAGATTGAATTTGGATACAGGTCAGTCAGGTTGTAAGTGATGATACTGACAAAATAGTCTTGACTTGTTTGCAGCAAGCAGCATGGAAAAAGGCATGGTGACACTGCTTTCTGGCCTCTTGAAAAACATCCCCCAAAATCCTTCCTGTCTGATCTTAAACAGTGGTGAGCAATTGTGAACCTTCACTTGTAGCTCCCAGTTGGAACGCATGCCAACTGGGAGGATTCTGTAGGTGCTGGTTTTCAGTACCATGCCCATCCTGGGAATTTCAGCACATCTGAAGGTGAAGCTTATGCTTCATGGGGCCACGTAGATAAAGCAAAAGAAATAGTCATTGTATGATTCCAATCTCTGTAAAACTGAGGAAGGAATCATTGTCTCGGACCCTCCAATGCAACCCTGCACCTCGCGCTATCAGGTGCCAAAGGCGTTAGTTTACAACAGATTCTGAAAGATAATGTCCAGTAATAGATAAACAATACAATATAGCAAGTTTCCTAGAGAACATGAGTTTAAATAACCGAAGGTGAATCTAACTCTGTCTTCAGCTGTGCAGAAACTTCTTTTACATGAACACAGCCTTACATTCTCCATTTATGAGATTTGGATGTGCCCTAACTACAGGCAACAAGATTTTAAAGCTTTTATTTAAACTGGGAAATTAATGATCTGCCAAAACTAGTAACTCCCAGCTACATGTGTAGTGGAACACCAGATATCATCATGAGTAATAATAGAAATGATCATGCTGCATTGTGCCTGCCAGCATATTATTTAATTATTAACTGAGATGGAGGAGCTCAGTAATCGAATAGAAGTCCCCTTCAGAAATATTAAGACATTGAATAATTTAAGTTTGATTGATCTGATCTCATTTACTCAACCTTCCCCCCTCATTTAAAAAGATAAAATAATTAACAGCAATGGCCTGTGTCGTGTGTGTTGTGGCTGAAGCCTTCTGGAGGGAATACACTTCAGGAGCAGATCCCTGGTGTCTGATTCAACCTCACGTTGGTGCCCTGTTCCCCCCAAAAATGCTGTCAGCTGAAAAGCTGCCAAACTGGCTTGTGTGGAGATGGAGAGTGCTCAGAGACCTGCTTTTGACCCCCTGGTGCTGCTTCAGCTATAAAACTCAAGGGCAGGGAATACAGCTGTCACTCACAGGGGCCTTGCAAGAGCAGCAAGCACCTTGTACCCCTGCAGGGGCCAAGCTAACCTAACTGGAAAGACCAGTGGGGAATTCATTTACCTCTCTCTGTTTTACTGGCTGCATAAAATGGCCTGGAAGCAAAAAGAGTTAATTATCTCCCTCTCGATACTTTTTTTTTCTTCTTTTCCACTTGGTTAGACCTGGCTCTCATAGCACATCTTTTTATTGGTTTTATATGATGTACAGCAGTGAATTATTGCCCCAGTAGATAGGAGTGAATGATAGAGAAGGCAGTGACCAAGCAGCAGGTGAATGAGTAACTGTTCCTGCACGTTAGCTTAGCATGCCAGCTTCATTCCATTAAAAGCAGCTTCTTGCAATTACGTATTCCACACCATTTTTTTTTTTTTCTTCCTGTCTTATAATTTTGCAGTTGATGGTGGATTCCCCGGCTAGTTTCATGGCTGTGAAACTGCAGAAAGCCAGAGGGCCTGTCAGTAATACAGTGTGTTAGCGTGAACAGTGCAGTAAAAATTCATAATGTGATGAGTCAGTTTGATTCTGTTTTTTACAGAGCTGCATCTCCCTGTCCGTCCAATTTCATTCTGTTGAGGTTAGAGCCTTTCACTTAAATGACGGTTCTTTTTATAAACTTCAAAGTCATCCTGAGGTTAAGTTCTGTCACACTGAGGAGCTCTTCTGAAAGAGCCTGGCTAACCAATGTGAAATTCCCCGGACCACTTCCCTACGTTTTTTGGATGGCTACAGCTAAATCTTGGCAAGGTGGAGAAAAACCAGGTCATAACACAGCAATCTGCTCTGATTTCATCCTTTCTTCCTGGTATAGGTCAGAGACAACATGTGTTGGAGAGAGGAAAACCTCCTATAGACGGAGGTCAAACGCAGCAGTTTGATGCAGCTTCCTTTTCATTGCCAAGGCTTATGCATGCAGTAGGGGTTTCCAGGAACCAAAAATGCAGAAAGTGTTTCTTTGATTGCTGAAGGATTGTTTGTGATAATGAATGTAGTTTCAAAAAGGAAGGGCAGGGTGCACAAAACAGCTCTTCTGGTTCAAGTAAACTGGTGGGCACGTAAAATAGAACAAAGTCACAAGGTGGGGAACACAGAGCTTGTGATGAGTGATGAATTAATAGTGGAAACTGAAGTCCTCTAAGTTCCAACTTGTCTGGCAAAAATGTGATTTTTATCCTGTAGCAGACTGTCCTGCCTCAAATAGACCGTTTCGAAGTGGATTAATCCCTCTCTGCGGCTATGACCCTAAGTCTCTTAGCTGAACCTGATTTCACAGTATATTTGTAGGGTTTGGGGGCTCACTTGAGCTTGTTTCTAATTCTCTCTGTACCCCAACAGGTCATAAGGTATTCTGGTGGTGACCACCATGGGGATGGTCTTTGGTCACTTACTCAACCAGGCTAGCTGAAGTCAGTCATCTGTGAGTTAACCTGATGAATCCTCCTTCCCTGTTTTCAGGGTAGCAAAAATTAAAGAATCATCTCACCTCTTTGGAGCCTTCTCTCCCCACCAAGGAGAAAGTTTAATCAGAACCGCTAAGCATGACAGGAATAACCAGGAGATTCCAGAGCAATAAATACTTGTTAACAGACAGAAAGCATCTATTATTCCAGCATTAGAATTCAGATCTCTTTTAGTAATCTATTAAAACAGAGATGGTTGGCTAGTTGACTAATTAAGCAAAAAAAGCCTGAGAGATAACGTGATTATCTGGAGTTGATCACTTGTGTTTATACAAGCCGTGTGCCTATGACGTAGTGTCAGATTTATTGTAATATTGTCCTGTAGGGTTTTGTAGAGAGAAGGCGCAGCGCAGTTCACTACCTCTGGATTACCTCTGGTAATTTTCTATTGCATTATTGACTCTACTGAGATGCGTTAATCCTGCAAAAATTCAAGAAGGGAAAATGTAGACCTAACAGGTTTTGTTGACTTTGGTGAATTTCCTTGTAAGTAGGTGGATTTATAGAAGTGACCCTGTTACCCAGGAAGGTTATAATGACCTATTTATTGATTTAAAATAATGATATTTTTGTTGAGCTAGATTTTGGAGAGGGGAGGTTGTTTTCTAGAATTGTTTTAAGTTTGTAATTTAGTGCAAAGTAGGTAATAATAATATAACCACAAAAATATAATAGGTATTGATGGAAGTTTGATTAAGGTGATTTGTGTAGCCAATATTTTTTTTTTTAACTGATTAAGATAAGCTTGCAGAATGAGTATCTGAAGTAAATAAAGTAACTGTTTGAGGTATGGTTCCTTGGAGGACTCTTCAGAGTATTTCAGGACACTATCGTATTCTTTCTGCTTTACAAATATTCTTTCTGTGTTAAGAAAGGTGAACGACTGCTATGATTTAAAAATAAAACTTCTGTAACTCTTGACTTCTTAAGCAAATCTCTTTGGGTAATTTGAGTTTGGCTTAAAAAAAAAGGAACCTATCAAAAGCAGCAAGAGTTTGTGAGAGACTGATTAATTTTAATCTATTCAGGGTAGATTAAATGTACTCGGGTAGATTAAAATTAGATAATCATCAGAATCATCTTTATAATTTGTGAATTTTGAATTGCTCCAATCATTGGCTAACATAGCATTGCAGGAGATAGAAGGATCCATGTGGATTGTTGCTTGTAGTAGTAATTTGTAGCTGGTTTTGCTTTGAGAGGGCAGCAGGGACTGTAAACAGTAAAGTTGAGTTCTAGCCTGGTACTTTGGTGAGATATAGTATGAGGATGACATATTTGATTTGGACTAGAGAGCAAGGTAACATTTATTTGAATGCATTTTCCAGGGAGGGCAGGTTAAGTTATTCTCTCTTATAATGCAATATTTATCATTAGTGTTTTCTTAGTTATTTGTGGGACTGTCGGAGTGTGGCCAAGTTGTCCCAGGAGAGAAGTGTAGGGTATGTAAATGAAGCCATCAGAGTACTGCTGATGTTGTGGAGTAGGCTATAGAGATAATCAGGAGAAAAGGCTGTAATATAGCAAGGACAATTAAATTATGGACAATAATAAGGTTCGTGTTGTGATACATGTAATTACTTTTGTTAAATATCATGGTTTGATATATTAGGTTTGAGGTTATGACAGAGAGGGAATTTATGTTCTTGAGTTTTTATGCATCATTGAGAGTTCTTTATTCCCTTTGGACCACAATTATGAAAATAAATCTATATAATTGCCTCAGGAAAAAGACTCCTGGAATCGCCTAGAAGGAGTTGCCAGAGGTTCTGTGGAGGCAGTTCAGTCGCAGCAGACATGGAGAAGCATCTTTCACGGACACAGCCTGAACCCAGGCCATGTTCTCAGTTGGTGCAGTTTGGCTTTTCTCCTCTGTACTTCATGGGAGCTGCACTGCTTTGGCCCCAAACTTCAGCTGGTGTCAAGCTGGCATGTAAAACGCTGCTTGTGAAAAGCTTGTGGTACTGCTGCGCTTACCAGCCATGATGTACGGGTGGTATTACAGCCAGATTCCCCAAGGAAAAGGAATTTAAGGCTTTGGTTTAGCCCTCTGAACTGTGCTGCTTTTTACCCCAAATGAACAGGAATAGGGTACAGGGAACATTCTTAATTTTTTTTTGTTCTCATGTTTTTTTCAGACGGTCCATAATGCAGCAATCATTTACAGTAATGGCTGAGAAGCTTGTTGCAAACGCCTGAATTTTCTCAATTAGCAAGCTAAGTGCTTAAGACCAATAAACAGGAAAAGAAACTGTATCAGTAAATGTGGTTGTTCATTTATTTTGTCACATTTTAATTTAGAGTGATGTATTAACAATAATACTTCCCAGCCTTCAAGTAATTGCACTGTTGTGTATTTTATAAAAATACTGCTGGGTAAGTAATATGGAGCCTGCTTTCTCAGTGCCTGAGCTCACTTACCAATGCAGCTCTGTTGTGCTGAAGCTTTGCTGAGAAGCGCTTAGGGTTTATCAAATTTACAGAATAGCAAGGTAAGAAATAGCAAGGCTTGATTATAGATGCTTCAGTGAATGAAGGAGCTGGTTTTGTCTGACATACTGATACTCCCAGTATAGCCATAGTTGCCTGCTCAATATTTTGTTTACTCTGGTGTGCGTATTTAGCAGAAACAGAAGCAATAATATTCTTTGAGAATATGAAAAGAAGATAAATATGCACTTCACTGGGCCCCCAAGGCCTCATGTAGTTAGTTAAAAACAACATGCTGAGTCATGTGGCATTTCATAATAGTGGTGCGTTTTATTTTCTAACCCCATAAATCTCCGTGGATCTCAGTATCACTGTCCTGTGGAGAAGAGGAATTGGGGCACTTACATGTCAGATGACTTGCCCAGGGTCATTGAATGAGTCTGTTGCAGAGGTAGGAATAGACAGGGTTCTCTGTTTTAATCAGTGAAGGACACTGTAAGACTCAGTCACTGTGAAATGGGTTTAAAAACTGCCCTGATGATGCCTTGGCTAGTGAACAGTGTCTCTTTCTGTTTGCTGTAGGTGTTCCTTCTCCTCCTTCATATACTTAGTCTGTTGTAGAAATGTGCTTTAACTTCTGTAACATCTGGTTGGTAAAAGGGAGGACTTATTCAAAACAGGCTCCTTCTGCAGAATTTGTCCATTAAGTCGTTCTCACCTGCCATCGTGGAAGGTGGAACTGGGAATGAAGAGAATTCAGGTTTCAATGGTCAGACTGAAACTATCATTCAGGAAGAGGGAAACACAGAAAGTGGGTAATTTGTCATAAGTTGAAACACAAAGCCAAAAGATGTTAATTCTTTATTTCCTAGATGAGAAAACTCTGTGATTTTTTTGTTTGTTTGTTTGTTTTCATCGGAGAAGGTGTGACTGCTACAGACGCTGAGGCTGCTGCAGGACCGTGCATAAAACTGCACAAGAACAACCCTGTCTCTTCCTACGGCCTCATAGTTTGCACTGGAAACATTTTCCTCCTGAATTTTTTGTGCATATATATATACAGTTGCTGGCCATGGATCTTACTTGGGAAAGGGTGAAATGCATTTAAATGGTGGATGACACTTATTGATGAGAGCAGTAATTCAGTTTACTGGGTGTGATTCATTATGGCTCTATAACCTCTCTGAACCTGGAGCCAGGAGTGGGACTGCCCTGGTTATGAATAACATCAGTGCAGAGGGCTTGTAGACTAGACTGGCGGCCCCTAGGATTCATTGCAGCAGGGATGTGACCTTATGGCATCCTCCTAAAGACTGCTCGAGCCTGTACCAGACCCACACTGGCTCCTGGTAGTCCCTTCTTTGTGCTTGAGTCAGCAAATGAGTGAAGCTGTCCTGGTATGGCTTGTCAAATGACTGATTTTATTAGATGGACAGTTAAAACCAGAAAGAGGAGATAAGGAAGAAGGTGTATCTCCAAGATCTTGATGAAGTACAGTTTTGGGTTGGAGCCAGCAGTAGGGCTAGGCTCTGTTCAGAGTTTCTGCTGTGTAACCTGGTCACATACAAGCAGCTTTTCTTCTGTGATATATCTTGTGATGAATTTGAAGCAAAGGGGAAAAAAACCCAAACAGGTAATGAACGAAACCAATCCCAGCATGGATCTCACCTGTATCCAAAAGCATAGGGCGTGCTTGAATCTGGAGTTTTGAATACTTTTGGGTCTTGATTCTTGTTTTTATGGTTGTAACAATTCTGGGTCTAAAAATTCCTGGAGAATTTTACTAGGGAATGACAAAAAAAGCTACTGAGATACTTGTTGTAGTTGTGGAAAGAAGTTGGATGGTTGTAACAATTCTGGGTCTAAAAATTCCGGGAGAATTCTACTAGGGAATTACAAAAAAGCTACTGAGATACTCGTTGTAGTTGTCGAAAGAAGTTGTGTCTCCATTTGTCCCCCTGTGCCTGGGATCAGAGAACAAAGAGCCTGGCCATGGAGCAGATTGTAGATGGGAAAAGTCATGGCGTGAAAGATGTGAAGGAGAGAAGAAGCTCAAATAGATACGGGAGTACGAGAGGGGCGGGAGCGGGAGTGTAAAGTGTATTTTAGAAGGCCCTGGTCAGCATATTGGCCAAGGAGGACCTTTCTGACTGTGGTTTGACTGTGCTAGAGGGTGGCAGTGTGCTTATTATCAAGGCAGAGGAGGAGGGGACAGAGGCAGTGATCCGTCCTGAGGTAGCAGAGGGAGGCAAGGACAGGAGTTCTGCCTGGGCGATTAGGACAGCTATTACCAAGGGGGCATGTCAGACTGGGAGAGGTGACTTTAGCTGAGCTGCTTCCTCTGGAAGTAATGGCTTCTGCTTATAGCAAGAACACGGCCACAATAAGAACAACCTGTGCGTGTCATAAAATTAAGCTGTAAAGGAGATGGTAAAAAGGGCTGTGACATTTGAAGAAGGAAGACTGCAGCATTTTCTTGAGCAAATTGGGGAAAAAACCCTCAAACCTTCAGGTACCTACGAAGATGCTGCATTTTTCAGGTCTGAAGATGTTTAACTGCAATGTGATTTAAAAATCTAATTTTTCAACCTGGAGATATTTATTTCTTTTTCCTTTTTAGCTCTATCGTCCACTTCTGAAAAGATATGCTGAGCTTGAACAGAAGGTTATCTACAACCCAGCCTCTTCTTGTCTTACGAAATAGAAGCGAACAAAATTTATAAGTTGGCTGAAGAGTGGACTCCCAAGGAGAAGATCAGAAAAGATTTGCTCAGAATTTACTGGAGTTGTTTAAATCATTCTGTTCCTCTTTGTAGACAAATAATTTTTAAATGTCTGTGTTTGAATGTGTTGGTGGAAAAAATTACTTTGTGATTGAAAACCTGATTAAAAAAGCATCATACTGCTCTGTGTGTTTGCGACTTCAGTTTTCTTTGGTACTTTTCAGATCGTGCTTGCTGTTTTGCAATAGCTGGATGACAAAGTCAAGTCCCTTGTACATACAAATCACTCTACCCATCTCTATCAGGTTTGATTCCATGTATTTAGCATGCTGGCCTCTGCATACCTACCTAGCACAGTATCTTAATTCCACGACTTCTGCTGCTTAAATCTTTTGAGACTATCTTTCTGTATATCTTTAACTTGTCATGTCAATGTTTATATTTTTGCATACAGGAAACCAACAGAAAGCACAAGCACACCGACTTAATCCCATCTTTCTTTAATATGTGGAGATTTGTGGTGTGAAGGCTGATTAAAGTCTTTAAAAGACTCCATGGGATCCTCAGAGAAGGGGAGTTCTTGTTACATGACACTATGGAACCACAATGTGGTTGGATTTTACAAAACGTGGAAAGCACAGAGGCCTTATGTGATACGCCATTGCACAATGTTTTACTTGACATCGGTTTTGTGAAAAGTAAAATAAGTGAACAAACGTGGGAAGTTTTACACGTTTCCTTTCTGTTTCAAAAGGCAGTGTCAGTTCATCTGCATCAATGTTTTACTTGACATCGGTTTTGTGAAAAATAAAATAAGTGAACAAACGTGGGAAGTTTTGCACGTTTCCTTTCTGTTTCAAAAGGCAGCGTCGGTTCATCTGCATTTGGGCTTATTCAGTTTTCCTTTCCTCCTTCAGGTGTCATGGCTATGAAGTTCTTTGTGTTGTGGTGAGCTATTCAGTTTTCCTTTCCTCCTTCAGGTGTCACAGCTATGAAGTTCTTTGTGTTGTGGTGAGTGTGACTGCAGAAGTAGGGCTCTGCTTCCAACAGGGCATGAAGGTCATTTTTTTTTTATACCACCAGTATCCCATTTCTTTCTTGGAGATCTCGAGGACAACTGGTGACTGTCTTGCTCTGTTGCTACTCTTCCACTTCAAATGTTTTTTGTCCACATTAGGTAGCCTCTAGCTGAGAAAATCGTAAGAGAAAATACAAGCCAGGAGACCTTTCTACAGAGATGTGTGAAAGTCACAAAATTTGAATGAACATCCTAAATCACCCTGTGCAAGTGAGAACACTTTACTGCACCATTCTGCAGTGCCAGTAGCTTTCCCTTAGGATAAAATGTCTTCTGGGAATAAACCAGACTTTTGTAATGAAAGTGACTGAAGTCTTTCTTCCCTTCTTGTAGAAGTTGTAATGCACCCAGGGAATAAGCCAGGGAACTGTAGGGAGTAAAGGATCTCTTTATTGAGTATTTGAGAGCTGGATTATGCCCCTGCTGGAGCTGGGTGGCTCAAATTCGTATTCTTCACATTACAGTGGCATAGGAGCACTCTCCTTGTCCCTGCCGCATCTCTGCAGTGAGGCTGGGAACCCCTTGCCATGACTCACCTCCGGAGTGGCAGGGGAATGGGCAGTTCCTTCCTTGCTCTCCCTTTTGTGTTTAAGTGCTTCATTTGCAAGTACAAACAGTGCCTTTTTTTCTTCACGACTGAATAATTGTAACTTCTCTTGATATTAGCATGATTACTCAGGAAGGTCAAGAATTACATTTCCGAGTTTCTAAAGCAGGCTTCCTTTAATCAATTGCTTTAAAAGGTGGCATTACAAATACACATCTATCTCTTTTATGTGCTTATTATTCTGGGTCCCAAGGTACAGTGCTAAAACATGCAATACTTCTCACAGGCCTCCACTGTCAGCAGTTGCTTTGTCATTGAGCAAGGCTGTAGAGAGGTATGGAAGGATTCATTAATGCATGTTAAACAATGCCTACTAGTTTAAGCAGCATTACCATCATCATTAGTCTTTAGTTCTGCCTGGTTACTGGTTTGACATCAAGGTTAACCACACAGGGAAGGGATTCAGAGAGGTGTTTTATCTCTCGGCAGTTTTGGTGACAATTTGTTGAGTAGCTCATTTGATTTACCAGAGTGAGAAGGCTGACGTCTCTTGTAGCTTTGTGGCTTTATTTGCCTGTGAAATGGGAGATGCAGGGTCAATGTCTTACTTGGCTGAAGAAGGTTAAAGCTTACGTTTCCCAGCTCATAGCGCATGTTAGAACATTTCTAGATAATATATTGGCTCCTAACAAGGTGTCATGTGGTGCTAGTACGGTATCGTCTAGATTAACTACTTTCTAGGCCTGAGCTCTTCTCTGGGTAGGGAGAAGGAAACACTTCCTTCTCTGTTGGGCTGAGTTGGTGCTCTGATGTGTCCCACATTTGCATTAAAACACTGTTTCCTCAGGGTAGCTGATGCACTGTGTGCTTGCTGCATGAGCTCCTGAGATAAGAAGGGCCAGGAGTTGAGCACCACTGAATTATAGTATTGCTGTGGTGATGGGTTTGTTAGAGCTGGCCTCTGAGGAATGGTGTCTGGAGTATAAGAATTTATAGACAAGCTCTTCTTTTTCCAGCTCACCAGAGTTGCACATGTTCACTGACTAGTGTCAGATAGAATAAGACTCAATAAATCTCCCCCTTGAAAGGTCCTTTGAAGAAATGCTGCTGTAAGACTTTCACCACTCTTTTCTTTTCTTTTTGTCTTTCCAGGAATGCACTTTAGACTGCTAAGGAACCACAGGCTTCTTGCTCCATGCACATCCCTTTAAAAAAGCCCCCAGTGATGGGAGGACCAGGTGTCCTTTGTTTTTTTTTCTTGTTTGTTTGTTCATTTGGGGTTTTTTTGCCAGCTTGTCTACCTTATATTATTCTGATTTTCTAGAGTGGGGAGGTTACTGACTTAATTAACATCTTTGCTAACAGAAATCTAAAGGCAAGCCAATGTCTTCTACCTCAGCGTACTTGATGGAGGTTGATTCCCTCCCTCGCCTTCCTTTTCTTCAAGGTGAGCAACATGGCATCCCCATCTTGTCTAGACAAAAGGTTAGCTTCTCTGTTTAAAGACTGGCTGAGCTATTCCCAGTCTAGACTAATCTGCTGGAAAATTGATCTCACCTCCTAGAAGAAATAGCCCTTGATTGCTGGGAGCAGGTTGTTCATTGCTGTCTAACCTGCAGCTCTTGTCCTGCGCAAGGAGAGCCACTCTAGGTTGGAGGTGGGTCGCGGAGTTACATGGAGAAATCCAAGCGGCTTCCTTAGCTCGATGGCCCTGTGCCCTCACCAGTCTATCAGAGCTGCACTGGATTCACCCACAAGCTCGTGGTGTACCATGACCCAAAGACAAACAGTTTTCTTTGCAGCCTGAAGTCTTTAAAGTCTTTTGTGATGCAGCTGGAAACAAACAGGGAAAGATGTTTGCTTTTTCTTAAGGGATCAGTCTGAGAGTGCTGAAGCTCTGATTGAATAAGTAATGTACTGAAAAAAGTCTATGCTCTGTCGGTGCTTTAATAAGTAATTGAGCTGAGTACCGCTGTGTGCGATCCCAGTGGGACTTTTTTGTTTTTCAGCTTTCTTTTCCTTTGGAGCTGCAGCTACCACCACAGATCACAGAGCAGTGCAGCGAAGGATGTGTATCTAAAGCCACAAAAAGCCACAGCAGAACTTTGAACAAATCGCTTGTTCTATCTGTATTTCTATTACCTTGGTCCCCAGACTACTGAGTGCAGGTTAGGGGCTGAGGGAAGAAAAGAGTAACGTTTTAGAGAACTAAACTGTCAGCTGTTGCTGCTCGTCATGAACACGGGGCCAAATTATAAACCTTCCTGTAGTGGAAAGGTCCTAATTTCCATTTTTGTTCTCCTTAGCTGCTGATTTTTCTTGTAACCTCTCAGGTTTTGATATTGGTGAGATCTCAACCCTCGTGTTAAATTGGGTTGAAATCGGCAAACATATGGATAAGAATGATAAGCAGGTGGGTGGACATTCACTCGGATACCAGGGGATCACTGCCCCATGAGGGGCATTTCCTTAAGAAGCTTCTCTGAAGGTGGCTGTAGTCCTGATTCCACATGGCTCGAAATTTTAGTAGTGTTTTACTCTTGTGCAGATTGGGTACAGAATCATATCTGCATTGAAAGATCTTGTTATTACTTGACACTCATTTTGTGCAGGTCAAAATCACAATGTGATGTGCAAGGCAAAAGAAATCAGGATAAGGGTTTTTTTGAGCATGTCTCTGAAGTGTGTGAGTAGGACATCTTTGACTGGGATATTCAGAGTAGTTACAGCCCCTGCTCGTCTTCTGTGCTTTGATTACAGCCTAGGTCAGGCCTCTTTGGTTAGCCAGTTCAAGTGGTTTAGCTTTCAGTCATCAAAGCCAGATCAAATTACCAGAATGTAAGAATTTTTTGATTAATTATTTTCCCTAGAACCTTTTTTTCCTCTCCTGCTGCAGATAACGACCCTTTCTTATACATGGTTAGCCTTGTTAGCTGTTTCCACTTCTATGGGATGTTAAGAACTTCTCTTACATGAGACTGTACTGGAGCCTGCTGAAATCCAGCCCCAAGAGTCATTTTACTTTGCTTATTCTTCTGTTCCTCTGTTGCTTCTTAAAGTTGGCCTTGACAAACAGAATCCTGCTTCTTGGTTATCCGTGGGAATGTCTGGACCACTGTAGGAACTCAATGATTTCGTTCTGTGTTCCTGAAGCACATTACCCTGAGGGATAAGGGTGAAGGAGCAGCTATCACTGCTTATGGATGCTGCTATGATCTGTGATTTCAGTCTTTCACTAAGCTGCCTCATCTATTGGTGCGTCAGCCTGCCCATTAGAACAACTGGGGATATTATTAATTGCATATCGTGTTTCTTGCTCTTAAGATCTTTAGATGACAGATATTTGTGATATGTTCTTTGTTAAGATGCTGTGATTAGCTCTGCTTTTGTTTGGTATATTGTGCCATAATACTCTGTAATGCATCCAGCAGGTTGTCATTTCTCTTTTAGCATCTCATCAGCCAAACAGAAGTCTTTGGTCACCCGGGTGTGGGATTCATCTGACCCATGTAGACATCTGTGTCTGCTATCATACGGGCTCCTTTT